ATGGTTGACTTTTTCCCCAATACAATTGATTTTTAGGTTAATTATCCAATTGACTGATCAAAATTGTGATTTAAGGCTTGAAACTTGGCATGAGTAATCTTGGGGGTCCATAATGATCCTTGAAAGTCATATGAAGCATTGACAGTCCAAAAATCCTTGTGCAAACTCAAACCCTAATTTTGGTCATCAGTGCATGAGTAGGTGTCTTGAGCTGGTCAAACCCTAATCTAGTCTTGAGTCAAAGAGATCTTGTGAGGAAATTCTTGATAAGCGAGAGGACAAATTTTGGGGTACAACATCTGCAATATGATTCTCATTTCTATAATGTTCCGAGTTCATCTTCCCATTTGCTACATGCTCTCAAAGATAGTGGAACCTCATTTCGATGTGCTTGCTTCGACCGTGAGCTATCGGGTTCTTCTCCAGGTTGATAGCTGACATGTTGTCGATCTTCATGGTAATTACTCCATGATCTTTACTTGTAATTTCTTCTACCAAGTTCACCATCCAAGTTGCTTGACATCCACAAATAGAATCAAATATGTGTTCTGCTTCGCATGATAATAATGCCACTACTGGTTCCTTTCTCGAACTCCAAGAAACTGGTGCACCATCTAACATAAACACATATCATGTTGTTGATTTTCGATCTTTAGCATCACTACACCAACTCGAATCAGTGTATCCCACTAACTTACATTCTTTTCCTTTATCATATGTAGGAAAGAAAATGTCATAGTCAATAGTTCCTTTCAGATACCTTAGTATCCTCTTCGTCGTTGCTAGGTGTGATACCTTTGGCTTCTGCATGAATCTACTTATCATACCTACATTGTATGCTAAGTCATGCCTTGTATGACAAAGATATCTTAATGACTCAATAAGTCTTCTGTATTGATTTGGGTCGACATCATCTTCTTGTGAATCTTTCGACGGTTGCAATCTTGTTTATGTCCGTGTCGAAGTCGAGTTGCATTCTTCTATCTCAAATCTCTTGAGAATTTCTCCTGCATATCTTCTTTGATGCCTCATCAAACCTCTTATGCTCTTGTAAAACTCAATTCCAAGGAAATATGAAATGCCACCCAGATCAGACATTTCAAATTCCTTGTTGAGATCGCCTTTGAAGTCTTCGGTCTCCTTCTTACAACTACCTGTTATTAACAAATCATCGATATAGAGACATAGTATAAGCAATTTACTATTGCTTTTTCTTGCTTATACTCCATGTTCAGTTATGCACTTCACAAATTCCTTCTCCCTTAGGAAACTATTAATCTTCTTATTCCAAGCTCTTGGAGCTTGTTTTAATCCATACAGGATTTTATGCAGCTTGTACACCTTTCTCTCTTTTTTATGTTTCACAAACCCAACTGGTTATTTAACATAAACCTCTTCGTCTGAGGATCCATTCAGGAATGAACACTTCACGTCCATCTGATATATGTGCCAAATGTTTATTTCTGCTAGACCAACAACCAACCTAATTGTTTCGATCCTGGTAACAGGTGCAAAAACTTCATCGAAGTCTATTCCTTATTTATGGATAAATCCTTTCGCCACGAGCCTTGTTTTGTGTCGAGTTAATTCCCCTTTAGGATTCATCTTCACTTTGTATATCCATTTGATATCAATTGCCTTCTTGCCTTGAGGAAATTTGATAAGTGACCAAGTGTTGTTGTCTTTGATGGACTTCACTTCTTTGTTCGTTGCTTTCACCCACTTCAAATATTTCGATGCTTCAGCTACATTGACAGGTTCAACATCTACATAGGAAGCATAATGCACCAGATCAACTCATTATCAACCACATAATCTGATGTAATCACACATTCTTGCAACGTTGCAGGCATGCGTCTTCTTCTTTTAGGTCTGCTTGTACTTGGTTGATCTATAACTGCTGGTTCCTCTTGTCGAACTTCTGTTTGGACTTCAACTGCTGGTTCTTCGAATAAGATTATTACTGAATCTTTCTTGACATTTTTTTATCCAATCCCATTCCTTAAGCTCGTCTATGATCACGTCCCTGCTGATCACAATCTCCTTGTTCACTGGGTCAAACAACTTGTAATCTTCTGTTGAATGATATCCAACTAGAATCATTTGACTCGATTTGTCATCAAGTTTTCTTCTCAACTGATATGGCACATGTATATATGCAATATATCCAAATACCTTTAGATGACTCAAGATAGGCTTCCTACCAGACCAACATTCTTCTGGAGTAATTCCTTCTAGCTTCTTTATCAGACATCTGTTCAATATGTATGTTGCAGTTGACACAACTTCACTCTAAAATTCTTTAGGTAAATTCTTGTCTTTCAACATACTTCTCACCATATTCATGATAGTTCGATTCTTCTTTTCTGCAATTCCATTTTGTTGTGGAGTGTAGGGTGGCACCACCTCGTGCACAATCCTTTCTTTTTCACATAATTTGTCAAAGTCTTTTGACACATACTCTCCACCACCATCAATTCTTACAACTTTGAGCTTTCAACCATTTTGTCTTTTGACCATAGACTTAAACTTGGCAAATACCTTGATCACTTCACTGTTCTTCTTGATCAGGTAAGTCCATATTTTTCGACTGAAATCATCTATGAATGTGATGAAGTATTTGTTACCTCCAAACGAATCCACCTGGAATAGTCCACATACATTAGAGTAAATGACTTTAAGAATAGCTTTCGACTTGCTTCATGCATCCTTGCTGAAGCTATTCTTGTGCTGCTTCGCCTGCACACATTCCTCACACACTTCATTTGGAATGTTGAATTATGGCAATCCTGAAACCATATTTCTTCTCTTTAAATCTTTGATGTCTCTAAAGTTGAGATGGCCTAGTCGATAATGTCATGTCCACTCATCTCTATTAGCTGCAGTCGGAATGCACTTGTGTTCCATCACATTAAGTTCAATATTGAAGGTTCTATCTTGAGACATGAGAGTCTTCAAGATTAACCTTCTATTTGCATCGACGACTCTCATCATCTTGTCTTTAACCAACACTTTGTACTTCTTTTCGAACAACTGCTCTATGCTGAGCAAATTGCTCTTGCCTGGTATATACAACACATTGAAAATTACTGACCTTTTGTCATCTTTCCTCATAATCAAGACATCTTCAATACATTCAGCTGCTACAATATTGTAATTTGTAAATTTCGTTGTATTCCTTGTTGAGGGTTTTAAGTTGACAAACCAATCTTTCCTTCCAGACATGTGTGATGAGCATCCTGAATCCAAGTACCGTTGATCCTTGAATTTTTCTTCATCTCTTGTTGTAACCATCAACAACATCTCCCATTCTTCATACTTTGTAAACTTTGTATCACTTTCTTGATTCTTTCGCTTCTCTGGACAATCGATAAAATAATGACCATAATTCTGACAGTTGAAACATTGAATGCGACTCTTGTCAGGTTTTTGACCACCACCTCTTCCTCTATTTGCAACACCACCTTTTTGGCTGCCTTGGTATGGTCTTCTCTGATTCGATACATTTCCTTCGTTCTGGTTTCCTCTACCAGTCGAATTATTGTAGCCGCCTCTACCTCTCTTGAATCATTTTCCTTTGCCTTTGGTTTCTTTTGCTGGATATGCCTGCAAAGTCAGATTCCTCTTTGACTTTCCTGCAACTCTTTCAATCATTCTTTGTTCATGAGATTCAAGCGTCTTTTGAAGCTTTTCCTTTGTCAACTTCGACAAGTCTTTCCCCTTTACTATAGCCACCACCATGTGATTGAACTTAGGAGCCAAAAATCTTAAGATCTTTGAAACAACAACTTTTGTTGTTAATGATTCTCCACATACCTTAATTTGATTCACTAGTTTTCTAACGCTAGTGAAGAAATCATATATGCTTTCATTATTTTCCATCTGAAGCAATTCATATGTTCTCTTGTGAGTTTATAACCTCACTTCTTTCACCTTTTCTGCACCACCAAAAGACTTCTCAAGAATCTCCCGAGCTTCTTTTACAGATTCTGAATCGCTCACTTTTTCAAAATTTTCTGGACTCAGACATTGATGAATTATAAAGAGTGCTTTATAACTCAGCTTCTTCGATTATGTGTGTTTCTTCTCTTCTTCTGAAGCGTTTTCTCCAAGCGCTTCCAGTCCATCCTTTACAAGATCTCAAAGACCTTGACACCTGAATAAAACTTTCATCTGTTTGCACCAATTCTTATAGTTGTCTACTTTCAGAATTGATAGAGTTTATGGATAATTCGCATTCCCATAACTCGCCATCGTGAATTCTTCTTCTTCCTCAATCGTTCTTGATCGGTAGTTCCCTTAAATCTATTAACCAGAGTTCTTGATACCAGATGTTGGAAATCCACTAAATCCTATGATGAATTTCTACCAATCTTGATGGACAAGATTGATATCACCACACAATGACAATGAATTATATGAAAAGAAAAGAAAGAAGACAATTATTTTCTATAGAGTTTCTCTCCGTCCACAAACTATGAAAAACTTTATTATTCACTTGAAACTGCAAATTTTGTGAATACAATGAATTATGTTAATTACAAAAATAGAGGTTATTCTCTCTATTTTTAGATTTAGGTAACCTACTCCTTAAGACAAAGTCTAAAACTATAAAAGTCCAAAATACATATTTTGCAACTAAATTAAATCTATTATATTTTAGATCTAAATTAAATCTATCTAAATTTAAAACAAATCTAAATCCAAATCAAATTTATATGCTTCGATACACAAACTCTTCGATTGGACAATAGTTTTCATCGAACAACCTAATTCGACAACCTCTAATCCTTCGACACATAATTTCGACGCTATAAATTAGAATTTAACTAAGTCCATATCCAAATTTCATCAAACAATACAATAGATTCAAATTTTCAATTTCCAAAAACAACATCACAAAACTTCCCTAACTCATTCAAATTCAATACCCCTAATTAGTGTGAGTTTTATTTTTCATCCACTAGTTTCTTCCACCATTACAAACCTAAATTTCCATCATGAACACAATCACCTTCCTTCGAAACCGCGCTATAAATTCCGCGCGAAGAATCCCCATTGCTTCCAACAATCCATCGTTTTTTCTTTCTCCACTACATCACCATACCATTGATTTGCCACAACCACGTTTCAATCTTCACCACCCTTTTCGAATACTAGGGTTTCATATTAACGATGTTTCAACTATTGCAAGAGCTGGATTCAAGTTTCAAAGTTTCTCAACTTCCATTGAGACACGTGGAAGTGAGAATAGTTTTGAGAGGATTTATATTCAGGGTGGTATGAATGTGAAGCCGTTCACGGTGGAGAGTGTTCATAAGGGCGAAGAGAATGGTGTAAGAGAAGAAGAGTCTGTTGTGGAAAAACAAGCTTGGAAGTTGTTGAAGGATGCTATTGTGACTTATTGTGGGAATCCCGTGGGGACAGTGGCTGCAAATGATCCAGGTGATAAATCGCCGTTGAATTACGATCAAGTTTTTATTAGGGATTTTATTCCTTCTGCTCTTGCTTTCTTGCTTAAAGGAGAGGATGAGATTGTCAAGAACTTTCTTCTTCATACCTTGCAATTACAGGTAAACATATAGTTATACTACCCTTTTAGAGACACCTAATGGTTCAATTTAATCATTGCTTTATAATGTTCTTATTGACTTATTTGATGTTATCTACTAACATTAGCAATTGTGAGGCTGTTTGGAACAGTTAGTGGAAACAGCTAATGACGTGTATGTATACTGATTTTAGCTTATCTGTATAAGCTCTGCAGTTTGACTTCATTTTATCTTTTGCTACCCTATGCGTAAAGACTTACATGATAAGTGATTATGCTACAAACACTTCATAAAGTTGCTTATCCAAATAGGTTGAATGTCTAAAAATGATAGGTTGGTTATTAGGACCGTCTTAAGTTTTTGGAGGACTTATGTAGGTTAGTCACGATTCAACCTTGACAAAACAACGTGCCCTATTTAGCCATGGTTAACTTGTGACAAATCTATTATGAGACCCTATTTAACCCTAATTTAATTGTGACAAATTCAGGCCCTATGTTGTAGCTCACCTTGCACACCTTTAAAGACGGTCCTGATGGTCATTAATTGAATTGAATTGAATGCATATGTAAATGTTTTTTTAGTGTATGTGTACTCTATAGTCATTAAACTTTTCTTGGGTTTATGTACTTCACTATTATTTATTCATATTAGCTATTTAATCAAGAGTTAGCTGGGGATACTGCTTATCAATGGTAAAACTGATGGCCAAATGCTAAAAATGGCAAAAGCATGTGTGTATAGTATGATGATTGAGTGATAATTCATCTAAAAGAAAGATTTGTTATGCTTTGTTAGAAATGTTTAAGACTTTAATTATATTGATTGCTAACATTCTACCTTTTCCCCCCTATTTAACCGTGAAAGAGTTGGGAGAAAACTGTGGACTGCTACAGTCCAGGACAGGGCTTGATGCCTGCTAGTTTCAAAGTTAGAACCGTTGCTATTGACGGGGATACTCACGAAGAAGTTTTAGATCCTGATTTTGGTGAATCAGCTATTGGTCGTGTTGCACCTGTAGATTCAGGTTTATTTTTCACTGTTGGTTATAACTTATAACATGCCCACAGATAAAAAATAATGCTCTTGAAAACTGCTTGTAAGTTGTAAGTTAAACCAAGAGCATTCTAAAATAAGTAACTTAACAAAACGAGTTTCATCTTTTGTTTCTTTGACAGGATTGTGGTGGATCATCCTATTGCGGGCATATGGGAAGATCACCGGTGACTATAGCTTGCAAGAAAGGGTTGATGTCCAAACAGGGTTGAAAATGATTCTTAAACTGTGTCTAACAGATGGTTTTGATATGTTTCCATCTCTGCTAGTCACTGATGGATCTTGCATGATAGACAGGCGTATGGGCATTCATGGTCACCCCCTTGAAATCCAAGTAAGCTTAACTACCCTATGTTTTCTTGTTCTTATATGTTCTGTATTAAGTGCTTTATGCACTTGAAAATTATTCCGTTTATGTGACCTGTTCTATTTAGAATTGAAGGATATGTAGTAGAGAGTGTCAAACAGCGATTGATTAAGACAAAAATGCCAACAAAAATAACTCTTGAGTTATTCTTAAAATAGAAAACAGGAACAAGTTTTGAGCACAAGCAAACATAGAACACTTACTCAAACAAGTCTTTTTGTCTATTATTATTTTGAAAGATAGCTCTAAAAAATTATCAAAGAAATCTGTGGTTTGTTCTACCTCAATTGTTTCAATTGTTATCTGTCCTCTTGCTTTTCCTTATATGTGGTGATTTTCACTTGACAGGCATTATTTTACTCAGCTCTTCGCTGTTCACGTGAAATACTTGTTGTAACTGATGAAACCAATGATCTTGTTAGAGCCATTAACAACAGACTGAGTGCACTGTCATTCCACATTAGACAATATTATTGGGTCGATTTGAAAAAGATGAATGAAATATACAGGTATAAAACAGAAGAGTACTCCATGGATGCCATCAACAAATTCAACATCTATCCAGAACAAATTCCTTTCTGGGTAATGGATTGGATTCCTGAAAAAGGTGGGTATCTAATTGGGAATCTGCAACCAGCTCACATGGATTTCCGGTTTTTCACACTTGGTAATCTTTGGTCTATTATTTCATCTCTGAGCACCCAAAAACAGAATGAGTCTATTTTAAATCTGATACAAGAAAAGTGGGATGATCTCGTGGGGCATATGCCACTTAAAATATGTTATCCTGCCTTGGATAATGAAGAGTGGCGGATAATTACTGGTAGTGATCCGAAGAATACGTAAGTTCTGCCTGTAAAGTTTCCTTTCTATTATTTGCATATCTTTGAGTACGTTTGAAGAATTTATATCATACTATTATAGTTTGTATAGTCATAATAAATCTTTCTAGGGTGTTCATCTTAACTGAAACAATGTGCTTAACTTTTGCAGCCCTTGGTCATATCACAATGGTGGATCCTGGCCTACCCTTCTATGGCAGGTAAGTTTCTTTTGATGGCAATAGATTTGTTTTAATGATAGTTCAGATATGCTGATTATATGCACCTTGCCTTGTCAAAATACCTCAACTATTGAACTCATAAATGTTTGGATAAACAACCCAATTAAGCGCTAATCATATAAGTATTTTTGTAATGTGCTATGGAGCAGCACACTTCAAGCTCGCTAGTCGAAACACAATATTATATGTTGTAGAAGACTGGGAATTAGTCCAGAGATCTCAATAAAAAGAATAGAAGAGACTATTTTTGGGTTGTGTTATGGACCTTTCTTTTGGCGTATGGAAAGAATTCTCAAAACTAGGAAGAATTGAATAAACAAGAGAATGATTCTAAACTAGAATAAAGAATTCTTTGACTATCTTTTTGTTACTAGCAATTGAATGAGATAATATGATTGAATTTGAAAATGAAAATACTAAAGGTATGCAATGTAGATGATATCCTTGCATTCAATGCTATCCAAAGGAGCAGTCTCCTTTCACTAGAACTTTCTCTTGTCGTAATTTCATAATTCAAAGCTATCTTCCCCTCTACCAATTGAGACCTATTTAAAGACTTTTTAAAGAATAATCAAAATAACAACTGTTAGCCACCACTTAACAAACAATATCAACTTACTAACTAACTTCTACTAAATAACTCTTAACTACTCTAATTAACCTATGTAGAATTTTTTTCAAAATATATTATAAAGTTGTTTTACAATTCAATAAGTAGTTTGTTTAAATAGAAAAAAAAACTCTAGACCTAACATACTTTGCTTAACTGCCCTTACAATAAGATAAATTAAATAAAATAAAATAAACTAAAAATAAAACAAACTTGATCTATTAATTACAATATCCTCCTTCAAGCAGGTGAGTGAATATCAATCATTCCAAGCTTGCAAGTAAGTTGGTTGAACCGTTTGATTGGTGAATCTTTAGTTAAAACATCCACCAGGCGATAACCAAAAAGAATATATGTTGTAGTTATCATCAATCCACTATCCAATTTTCTTTGATGAAATGTCTGCCAATCTCAATGTGCTATGTTCTGTCATTTTGAACAAAATTATGTGCAATACTAATGGCCGATTTGTTGTCACAATAAAAGCTCCATAGGATCTTCACAGTTCACAAATTCTTAGTGCCATAGGTGTAAATTATGTTTCAACACTTGATCGAGCCACTACACTTTGCTTCTTGCTCCTTCAAGTGACAAGATTTTCACACAGGAAAGTACAGTAACCAGAAGTTGATATTTGATAATTTGCTGAACCTGCATAATTAGCATCTGTGTAAGCCTCCATAGTTAGATTTCGACCTCTTTTGATAAGACACCTTTATTTTTTTCTTTCCAAGAGTGGCTTTGAGAATTGTAGAATTCAATCAATAGCTTGCAAATGCCTTGTCATTGGGTCATGCATGAATTGACTCACCATACTAATCGCAAAAGTCCAATTTGGCCTAGCGTATGCCAAATAAATCAACTTTTCCAATAATGTATGATATTGTGCCTTGTCAACTTTACCTCTAGTTTAGACAATTGAAATTGTTTTTGAAGCAGATCAAGTTTGCTTCTTCTATGGTATACTAGAATTGACGTCAAAGATGCTAATTCCTACAAAACAGATGACATTGGGGAATTATATTAGAAATAGACTCGGGTTCAGAAATTGAATTGAGAATATGACTTAAAGTAGGTGATATAGGAAATGGAACAGAACTAGACTCAGATTCAAACATTGAAGTGGGAGCCGAAGCTTTAAGAGAGAGGGGGAGCTAGGACCAAAGGTCAAGAACTCACTCTTAATCAACGTCATTAAAACATTCTCCTCATGAGGACGAGTGAAGTATGACACATTTTTATGATAGGTGACATCTTTGGAGATAAAAAAAACTTCCGACTAGGAGGATGGTAACATTTGCCTCCTCTGTCTGAAGAGCATGCACATCCAACTTATTGCGATATTGGTTATGAACATGAATTAAAGCAACACAATCAGACATGCGAAACTCAGGATTCTGTAAGATAGGAACAGAAGGAAAATGAAACAAAGACTGAACAAGACTAACATTTCCTAAAATTCTAAAATTCAAGATGGGACGCGGTTAATCAGATAGAAAACAATAAGATAGAACTAATTAAAAATAAAACTAACTAATCTATTATTGACAACACCTATATATTCTATATCCTTACAGGATATTTATGAGAGGAAAAAATCTTCAAAGTTAAATTGATTGTCTTTTCTGGAATAAAAAAAAAAAACAGTATGTGCTTTGTTGGTGTAAGACCTTGCATAAGTCATGAAGTGTTTAATTTCTAATGTATTTTTTTTTTTGTACATCCCTTTCAGTTCACACTGGCATGCATCAAAATGGGGAGAATTGAACTAGCTCAGAAAGCAGCTGATTTAGCTGAGAAAAGGCTGCCAGTTGATTCTTGGCCTGAATATTACGATACTCGTTCTGGAAAATTTATTGGAAAGCAAGCACGGATGTATCAAACATGGACCATAGCTGGGTTCCTTACATCCAAGATGCTTTTGAAGAATCCTGAAAAGGCATCCATGTTATTCTGTGAGGAAGATTACGATCTTCTGGAGTATTGTGTTTGTGGACTTAGCCAAAAGGGAAGAAAAAAATGCTCCAGAATTGCTGCCAAGTCTCAGATTCTTGTATGATGCAAGCTGCATATTATTTGAAAACAGAATGCCAATTGACAAGTTCAGGGTATGTGTTTTGTTTTTAGTACAAAAAAGTAGAACTGGGAATGCAACACTATGCATTCTCCATGTTGTAGTCATTATAGTTACATTGGTTAAGATGGCTTTCCTTTCTATTGGGATGCCAATTCTTTTTCTTAAAAAAATAATGAAGGAGAGTTTTTAACTTAAAACCTCTTAAAAACTTCTTAATAGATACCCTAGCATAGTTCATTTGCTTAGGATTTTCACTTACTCATATATAGGTATATTACCAGTGTTCCCTAGTTAGGATTTTCACTGTCAACTATGTATACAAACGATGTTTATATTTACTTTTCTCATTCTAAAAGTCATCAGGAATTGCAGTGTTTTATAATTACAGTTTCTTTGCTACGTTCCTAGATTATTTTGTTCGCTATTTGTTGTCTGTTAGACTATGTTTTTACTGACATTTGTTCAAGTATATCTTCTATATCTATATACAACATATGAAACTTAATGACCATCCAAACTGTCCAAAAAATTGACACCTTAACAATGTTTTATCCTTTTATGTTTTTTTTACTGTTATATCAAATTTACTGTTTTTCTTCCTTGTCAAGTATAAAATTTAATGACCACTGAAAATCCAAAAATACAATCTTACACTTGTTTAATAAATTGACACCTAATGTCTTTTTTCACTTTCTCTGTTAATTTTTTTACTGGTCAAATTTACTTTTTCTGAAAATTTATTGTTGTTAAAGCATTGCATTAAAGCATGGAAAAGAGAGAAAGTGAAGCCATGAAAACTGATATTGAGCTTGAATGTTAAAGCATTACAACACAAGCTATATGAAAACTAACTCAACTAAACAAACTACTTCCCTAAAATGGAGAGTTCTTAACTAACTTTTAAATCTTTTTCTCCGTAAAAGGCAAGTTTGTTAAAAGCTAAAAATGAAGCTTCTCATCATCTCACACCAATTCATTCCTTCGAGCTATGCTTTAATATTTTTAACATCCTTACTCAAGATTAAACATGGTAAATATCAAACATGTCAAGTTTGGAAACAAAAGTGTCTGAACTTGGTTGGATGCTAGGGTTTAGTGAGGAAATCTGCTAGCTGCTTTTGAGAGGAGATAGGTAGGAATCTCAATACTCCCTATTGGACTTTATCTCTTACTAGATGTCAATCGATTTTAAGATGTTTTGTCCTTTCATGAAAAAAATGATTGAATGTTATATGAAATACGCCTTGATTATCACAGTATAAGACATGCGACTTAGAGCATGAAATGTGTAAACCTCTTAAAAGGTACAAGAGCCAAATCAATTCACCTATAGAGGTATCAAGTACTCAATACTTTGCCTCAGAAGATGATTTGGATATTGTCTGTTGTTTCTTTAGTTTCAAAGATACAAAAGATGAATCTAAGGATGTGGATTTCCTTGAATCAATGCAGCTAGCCCAGTCTACATTTGAATATCCTAGGATTTGAACATTGAAGGACCCAGGGAATAATAATCCTCGGCTAGAATTATGCTTCAAGTATCTGATAACTGTGCAAGCTGCTTGATATTGAAGTTGAGTAGGGCTATAAAGAATTTGACTCAATTGTTTGGTAGCAAGAGTTATGTTTGGTCTTGTGTTGTTCAAGTATATAGTCTTCAAATGAGTCTTTTATAAAAAGTGATATCTTCAAGAGGTCCGCTTCCATCTTGATATAACTTCGTTGAAGGATTTAAAGGTGTTGCAACAAGTTTTGAAGCTAGCTATCCTATATTATTTACTATATCTAGACAATACTTTGTGAGATATCTCCATGTTTCTTCCTTTGATAATATAACCAAACGAAACAAGTTCACCCTTTTTAAGATTGAAGGGAAAAGAAAAGTTCTATCTTCATACAATTTAGCATTTGAAATTGTAAAACATATCTACATCATACACTTAAGTTTTATACATTCGGTACTCAAATCATAAATACATAAAATTTCTAGATGTTCAATTTAAACAATGAATATAAGGTTTTTTTTTTTTATAGAGGCAAGATGAAGAATTATTTTTCATATTATATCATGGTTTTTTATCATAAAACAAGATAGATCAATATGATTATTTTTACTACAATAGGTACATTTTGGCATATTATATTTCCGAGTCTTACTAGCATGGCAGGATTTCTTAAAGGTTTTATCACTGTTTTCATGTTGATATCTTAAACCAACATTATTATACGTTTCTCTTTAATTATCTAGAATGAGATTCAACTTGTCTCTCTTAGGTAAATTTATAAAATGTGGTATGCAAATAATCAATTTTGTTATCTAAAACATTGCATTTTGCACACTTGATTGATTTAACAATTTTTTATATAGAAAAATAAGAGGTAGAGGGAGAATTGTGATTTAAAAAAGCTTGTTTTTCCTGAGACAATCTATTTTCTTTAACATTTTTTTCCAAGACAGGATGTAGTTGCTTTAGAGACATAATCATCTTCTTTTAATTTGTTAGACTCACTATTTAATTTTTTTTTATTTTATAGATGAGGAAGAGTTCATATGAGGTAAATTAAGAAATTAGATCATTTACCTTCTTTTCTTTGTGATTTTCTATGAGAGAGATGTTGGCCTTTTCTTTTTTGATTCAACAAAGGAGTCCATATCATTATCATTATATGTTATGTATCTCTTCTTTGTTTTTTTTTGAGGTTTTTTTTTTTACATTTCAACTCGTTTACAGTTTTGAGAAAAATTTGACTTTATGTAATATTTCTTTCTGCCCTAAAATCATATTCACTTGAACGGAAATCTTTGTTGGATTTAAGGTTATTTATTGTGTTTTTATGAACTTTTAAAACTTTTCGATTAAGATATTTACGTCTTCATTATGATCAGATTCTTTGGCTTCTTCAATTTTGAATGCAAAATTTTTCTTCTTCTTCTTGCCACCTTCTTCATTTTCATATGAATTTCATGTCTTTGTAATTTTTCAAACAAAGTAGTCAAATTCATAGAAGACAAATCTTTAGATTCTAAAATTGCAATGAATTTAAGTTATCAATTACAATTTAAACATCTAAGGAATATGTTAATTAAATCATTTTGAAAAGTCTTACTCAAAGTTCTTAACTGATTAACAATGTGAATAAATTGTTTTTCTATGTCTTGATTATTTTCAAGTTTCATTCTAAATAGCTCATACTCTTGGATCAATGTGTTTATCCTAACTCTTTTACTTTGGTTGTACCTTTATGGGTAACTTGAAAAGCGTCTCACATTTATTTTGTATAATTACACTTGGAAACGCGAAAACTCATCACTATCCAGAGCATTAATAATATTACAGTTTTAGTTTTCAAACTCTATCGAACCTTTTTTTATCCTCTTTGATCGAAATATCTCTAAGTTTGTTTTCCACAATACCATAAACTTGATGTTTGAGAATAAATGGACCATTTTTAACGATGTCCCAAATATCACATTGCATCTCATCTATAAATATTTTTATTTTCTCTTTTTAATAAGTATACTCCTCAACATTAAAGGATGAATTTTTGCTTAGTGAATCATTTAAAGTCATCCTATCTCCTGAAACGATTAATCTTATAATAAAAGTTAGACTTTGACGTCACTTATTGATCAAATGACTTCAAACACAAGAAGATGAAAGGTGAATGTTAGAGCTCATAACAACCATGAACACACCGTATCAACCATTGATGAACAAGAGAGAAGTAGAAAGAAGAAGAAAAAGAATAGAAGAGTTTGTGGGAGCTTGAAGCTACAAACTGAATATTAAGCTTAAAAGAATATTACGTCATAGTTTTATTTATATAGTTAATTGAGAATCAAGTAAAATGAATCTCCAACTAACTATAACAAACTAATATCCAAAAAGGGAAACATCTTAACTAACTTTGCAGCAATTATTACTAAAGATAGTAAAGCAATTACAAAGGAGAAGACAGCTTAAAAGGACTTCAATCATATCTCATTATTGTATCATGATTTCAACATCCTCCCTCAAGCTTAAGCATGATAAATATCTATCATGCCAAGCTTGGAAATGAAGTTATTGAATTTGCTTGGGTTCAAAGGCTTTGTGAGAAAATATGCCAATTATTCTTGAGAAGATATAGGCAGCATCTTCATAACACCTTGCTGAACTTTCTCTTTCACAAGATGACAATCAATCTCAAGATGCTTTGTCCTTTCATGAAAAATAGGATTAGAAGCTATATGCAAGGCACTTTGATCATCACAGTATAGGACATGTGGTTTGCAGCATATAATGTTCAAGTCTTGTAAGATGTACAAGAGCCAAATCAGTTCACATGTAGCTGATCCTAATGCCCTATACTCAGCCTCAAAGGGGGACCTAGAAATTATTGTTTTCTTCTTTGCCTTCCAGACACAAGATAAGACCCAATAAAGAAACAATAACCTGGTGTGGATTTTCTAGACTCAACACATCCTGCCTAATCAGCATCAGAGTAGCCTAGAATATGAAAATCGGAGGATCTTGGGAATAGCAAGCCTTTACCAGGATGTTATTTCAAATATCTGATTACTCTACAAGTTGTGTTATAGTGCATTTGTATAGGATTCTGCATAAACTGACTCAATTGTTGTGTTGCAAGTGTGATGTTAGGCCTTGTGTTATTTAGGTACATCAATCTACCAATAAGCCTTCTATATGATGTGATGTCCTCAAAAGGTTTACTTGCATCTTGGTACAACTTTGTTGAAGGATTCGAAGGAGTGGTAGCTGGTTTAGATGCAAGTAATCATGTGTCATGTAATAAATTCAAGAAATACTTCCTTTGTGAGATGACAATTCCTTCTCTTGAATGTGCCACCTCAAGGCCAAGGAAATATTTTAAGATTCCTAGGTCCTTGATTTTGAATTTGCTATGCAAAATGGCTTTGATCCTGTCAAACTCAGTTAAGGAAGTGCCATCCAAAATCACATCATCTACATATATGAGTA